AACACCGCTCACCTCAGCCAATCTTGTGCCCTTCTCTCTGGCTGTGCCAGAACAGGAGGGGCCTGTATGCTGCAAAGTTTGCCAACAACATCAATCCAAAACCAAAAGTGAGTCTAGGAAACCCTGGAGGCCAAGGGATTTAAGATAACCAGGAATTCGTAGATAGAGAGATAAAGGTTTGGCCAAAATAGAAAGAGGCTACAGTGGGAAAGCTCCAGGTGAACTAACAATGAGGAATCTGTCAGGGCAAGGGAAAAGAGCTTCCAAAGACACAACTGTTAACCCTTGGTAACTGTATGACCAGTGGAAAATGTCCAAAACCTAAGGCAAGGCCAGAGTGAGGCCAAGAAGAGAAAGGATCATGGGGGACACATGAGGCACAAAGGACACTTAACATATTTAACATCTAAATTTATCTATTTCCTAAAATCCTTAGGGGACTCCCACTGAGCAAAGTTGACTTATGGGACTTGTGGGAATATTCACCAGGCTTAGAGCAAAAGAATCTCGGAGATTTTCTTGTTCCAAAACCATCTCAGCAGCTGTTGCTCTTGGTTGGGGATCATCATCCTGCACCTAAGGCAGGAAGACAGTGATCACAAATAAGATGAAAAAGTCACTGGAGTTGATCACTCTGGGATCCAACTCGTGATAAAAAGCGAAAGGTACGAGCAGTCTCTGAAGATGATCAGACAAGGCAAAAAGAAATTGGCCATCTTCACCATCAAACCGCCTGGTTTTAAGAAAAACCGAAATAAAGTACTTCAGTACTACTCTATGTTGACCAAAACTACAGTGGCTATAATACTGAATTGAACACAGAAAATAAAAAAACAGTATGCTGACTGGCTATTACTGATGCAGGCGATTCTGATATCCTCAGAAGCATGCCAGAGAGGAGGGTGAAAAGTAAACCATAAAAGAATTTTCTTTAAATAAAACTTGCCAGCCAAGTGTAGTGGTGCACAGCTGTAATCCCAGCACTCTGTAAAGCTGAGGCAAGAGATTCACAAGTTGAAGCACAGCCTGGACAATTTACCAACTTAGGGAGATCCTATCTGAAAAGATTTTTAAAAGGTGGGGATGTGTAAAAGCCCCTGGGTTCAATCCCCAAAAATAAATAAACAAACTTGCCAGAGCTTGTGAGAATAACAAGAAGTCTCAGATTACACCACATATACATCAATGAAATTCCTCTGGATGACATAGTTCTGTCCAACCTGGTCTCCAAGTGCAGCTTGATTCTGTGCAAGAAAAGAGGAAAACAGCCGGGAATGGTGGTGTATGCCTATAATCCCAGCATTCGGAAGGTTGAGGCAGGAGGATCTCCGTGAGTTCAAATGCATTAGTCATTAGAAAAATTAAAGTCAAAACCACTCCTGAATTGTATCCCCAGCACAACCAAAAATAAATAAGGAAATAAATACCATAATAAGATAACACTTCAAACCATTAAGATGGCTATAATCAAAAGAAAAAGCAATTACTATTAACAAAGATGTGAAAAAATTAGCATCCTCATACACTGTTGATGGCAATATAAAATAGTGGTCCTCAAAAAGTTAAGTAGAATTATCATATGACCCAGCACTTCTAGTGCTATGTAAGTATATACTCAAAAGAATTACAAACAGGTGCTCAAACAAAACCTTGCAAATTAATGGTCATAGCAGCACTATTCACAGTCACCAAAAGGTGGAAACAATCCAAACATCCACCAACTAAGGAATGAATAAAACAAAACGTGGTCTAGCCACACAATGAACTATTACTCAACCGTGAAAAGAAATGGAGTACTGATACCCACTACAAGATGAATTAACCTTGAAAAACAACTTAGTAAGAGAATCTAGACACAGGCCAGGCATGAGGCACACGTGTAATCCCAGCACCCAGGAGGATATTAGGGTCATTTAAGTCAGTCTTTGTGTTCACTGCCTTCTCCACCAAGGTGAACACCAGGCCTCTGCCTAACAAAGTCAGAAAGTCATAGCCAGGGACCTTTACCAGTCTGCCAGCTGCACTGAGGTAGAGCACTCTACTGCATCCATCCTCTCCACCTCAGCAACTCTCTCTGCCTAGTGAAGCCACAGCTGCCCCTGAAAGCCCTCAGAGGTGTCAGAGCAGGAAAGCAGGGCAGAGGTACAGCTCCTTAGTGCTGACTTTCCCTTGATCTCATTAAGTGGTTCCTTCATGAGTTTGTCAAGTCAATAATTCACCAGCCTGCCAACATGCTGCTAGGGCAGAAAGCCCCTTACTGCTCTCCAGTTAAAGAGACCCAGACTGGTAGGGAGAGCCTCTCTGCTTCCTCATAAATATCAAACGCTTACTGATGCTTACTAATGGCCAACACAGAACACGGTGTTACACAACTGTCACACTGAATTCTCACAATAACCCTATGAGAGAGAGAGAGCAGGGCTACAGTGGGACTTTTGTGGGTCCTATGTATTATTGCCTTCCTCCCAAAAAAATACTCAAAAATCTACTTTATGACTACATTGGTATAAAAGCATTGTCTTAATAGTGTATGTTAAATTTTTTCTCATTTTTTTCCTTCCTATTTGAAAAGCAACCAGTACAGTTTCACAGGCCCCTACAAGTATCACAGGATCGAGCCGGGCATGGTGGCGAACGCCTGTAATCCCAGAACTCAAGAGGCTGAGGCAGGAGGACTGCTGTGAATTCGAGACCAGCCTGGGCTACATAGTGAGTTCCAGGTCAGTCTCAACAACATAGTGAGACCCTGTCTCAAAAAAAAAAAAAAAGAAAAAAGTATCACAGGATCTACACATTGTGATTCCTGCGCTGGATGAGTAAACTGGCCCTGGATATATCATCATCATCTCACAGATGAGAAAATTGATGATGTTAGATGAATGTGTAAAGACAACCCAATGGAGAAAGAATATTATCTCAACAAAGGGTAATGGGACAGCCAAATAGCCACATAGAAAAGAATGATTTTGGACCCCACCTCACATCATTTACAAAAATTAACTAAAAATGGACCAGGGTCTATGTGTAAGAGCGAAAACTGTTCTCTTAGAGAAAACATACATGTAAATCTTCATGACCATATGGTTTTTTCAGATATGACTCCTAAAATACAAGCAACTAAATTAGAAATAGGTAATGTAGACTTCATCAAAATTTTCTTAAGCCAAGCACAATGGTGCATGCCTCTACTTTTGGCTTTCAGGAAGCTGAAACAGAAGGATTAAGCATTCAAGGCCAACCTGAACTATTCAGCAAGACCTTATCTTAAAAAAAAAAAAAAAACTTTCAACTAGGACTGGGGGTATGGCTCAGTGGTAAAGTGTTTGCCTGATATGTGTGAGACCCTGAGTTCAATGCCCAGCACCACAAAAACTAATAAGTTAATTTAATTAAAATGTGTGCTTCAAAGGAAGCTATCAAGCAAGTAAAAAGTAGAGCTGGGGGGTTATAGCTCAGTGATAGGTCATGTGCCTGGCACATACAACATCTTTGCTCTCTGCTTTGATGTTACCTGGCACCTTCTCCAAGTTCAAACATACCCAGGTAAGGGTATTAATTATACTGCCTCTGAGCTCTTGTGCATCTCTCCCTGTATGAAAGTATTTGGGCATATATTCCTTGAGGACAGCACAGTAAACAACCCAAAGCAGCCAGCACAATGTTTGGCACACAACAGTGCTCAGAGAAGTCACACCACACAAACTGGAGAAAATTCTATTTCATTCCCAACCCCTTCACTGCTTTTTTTCCCTAATGGCAGTTTTCCTGCCAACTAGCAATACTACAGGCAGTTTAAACAAGGCATTTAGAATGTTAATGGATGAAAATGGATTATGGCCACATTTGTTTCATATAAATTAACCTCTGTGAGTTTTATTGCCTTGTTTGCCTTGGCTACCCAGCTGTTGGTTAGCATACCCTACTCAGCCCAAGGGGTGGAAATGTTCCCTTGACAAGATGATGTCAGCCATGGCTGATATGAAGAGGATGAGAAAACTCAGCAACTGAAAGAGTAGCAACTTCCTGAATTGTTCACAGTGTCACTTCATTGGGATCCCTCCTTCTTCCTCAATTCTAACCGTGCCAGGCAAAAAATTGGAATATCCAGCACAGCTGTTCTCTAACAAAATTCCTGGAAAAGGAGTCAGGTAGAGTCAGGCCAACAACCCCCTTTCTGCCCTTCTGGAGGACTGACTTCATTAGCAATATCCTTTGATTTCCTAACCACTACTGCCCCCTGGTGCCCTAAATGGCCACACCCTACCACTCCCTACCAGCTCTACTCTCCAGTTCAATAGAAATACAATGCAAGCCACAAATATAATTTTTAATTTTCTGGTAGGAACATTTTAACAGGTAGAAATAAGCAATTAAAATTAGTTTTAATAATTCATTTTATTTAACCCTATTTATCCGAAATGTTTGCATTTAAACATGTAATCAATATAAAAAATTAATAAGCTCCTCTAGTCTTTGCTTCATGCTAAATCTTTGAAAGCTGGTATACATTTTACACCTGCAGCACACCTCAGTTTATATAAGCCCTATATCAAATGTTCAACAAGCAGTCACAAGTGGCTAGTGGCTACTGTTCTTGTGCCCACAGGGCCTAACCGGTGCTGTCCCGTGGCCTGAGCCAAATATTTTCCCTAGACAAGTCCTCTTCCCCGAGTACCAGCTTCCTGCTTGTCATCTCCATTTGCCTGGGTAACCGAAATCTCAGTAAATTCCCCAAAACTGCATGGCTCATTTTCCTCTCCAAGACCCAAGCCAGGCATGGTCACCTACCTGCAATCCCAGTGCTCTGGTAGGCTCAGACAAAAGAACTACAAGTTCTAATCCCGCCTGGACAATTTAGTGACTTAGTGATATCCTGTCTTAAAATAAAAATAAAAAGGGGTGGTGGTGCTGGAAATATAGTTCACCCAAAGGATCTGGGTTCAACTCCTAGAAGTACCAAAAAAAAAAAAAAAGCCAAAAAACTCTTTCCCACAACCTACCCCAACTCTATCAATGGAGCCAAATCCATCCAGTTGCTGGAACTAAAATTTTAAAAGTTGTGCTTTTCCTTCACTCCTGCCCTGCATCCAAACTGTCATCAGGTCCTTTCAATTCAGTCCTCAGATACACAGGCTGAGTATCCATCATCTGAAACGCTTGAGTACAGAAGTATTTCAGATTTTAGAACATTTAAATACTCACGATGAGCTCTCTTTGAGGACGGAACCCACATCTAAATTGAAATTTATGTTTCATATACAACTTATTTACACAGCCTGAAGAAAATGACATACCATATTTTTAGTATGACTACATTTTTTTGTTGTTGTTGTTTCTTCAGACAGGGTCTCTCTATGTAGTTGAGACTGACCTGGAACTCACTATGTAGCCCAGGCTGGTCTCGAACTCACAGCGATCCTCCTACCTCAGCCTCCCATGTGCTGGGATTACAGGCGTGCGCCACCACGCCCGACCAGTATGACTACATTTTGCCTGTGATCCACTACATGAAATCAGGTATAGAATTTTCAATTTTTGTCATTTCAGCTCTCAAAATGTTTCAGGTTTCAAATTTACAGATTGGGGAGCTCAAATTGTACCTTCACTTGCCTCCATGCCCACTGCTATTGCTTCAGTCCAGGCCAACATCAGCTTGCCTGGACTACTGAATGATTTCTCACTGCTCCCACTCCTACCTTCCCACTCCCTCATCCACACCCACACAGAACAGTCAGAGGGATCAGCTAACTCCCTGGTCCTCATTTCCAGACCAGATTCCTGATGCCTTCTGATAAAATGCAAATCCCTCACCTACCTTTCCACAGCCTTCATTAGCTGCTCCGTGTGTTTCACTGTCCATCACTCGAGCCATTTGCCTCGAATTTACTAAACCGACTCCCACTTCCCACTCTCTATCTGGAACATTCTTCCTCCAGACCTTTGCACAGCTGGCTCCTTCTCAGGATTCAAGTCTCTGAGCACTCTTCCTTCACCAACCATTCTGCAATAGTCCTTTCATCCACAGTCATTTTCTGTGCCACAAGCTTGTTTTCACGCTCTTCACAGCATTCACCACTTCCGGGTTAGTGGATGTTTTCTGTCTCCTTCCAGTAGAGCAAAACTCCATGAGAAGAAAGGAATTCTCTTGTAGTGTCCTTCTGTGTTCTAGAACTAACTAGAACATCTAGCAGGCTCATAGAAACATAGGAATGAATGAGTAAATGAGTGAATATTAGTGCCCTGTCTGGATCACTCTTTCTACACCAGGGTTGGCTCCTTCTCCTTCGGGTCATAAATTATGTGTCACCCACTCAGAGAGCCTCTTCAGACTTGCCAGCTTTACTCAGTCTCAGCACCCATACCACAATCTTAATTTTGGCCAATTCGCTTACTTTCTTTATCTTCTCCCACTGCCCTTATCACCACTTCTAGATCCTGCTCTACATGAACAGGAGCAACAGACTGTAGCACAAAACCTGGCATTTGGTGGATATCCGATAAATACGTGCTGAACGAATAATCAACTCTTCTTGGTACCTCCCAGTCCTGCCCAGGTAAACGATCCCCTGGAGAGTATCCTACTAGGCCCCCGTAGGAAGCCTGACTTGTTTTAGTCTCTTCGGCAGGCTTTCAGGAGCTACGATCCCTGCCTCACTACACCACTGATGTAGCCTGGCCATGAAATGAGTTGGGTACCCAGCTTCAAAGAAAATAGAGAAACTGGGGTAAAAGGAGGACCACTGTCTCACAGGGTTTGCCTGATGCTCACTGATTCCCCTCCCTCTCTTCCCCTAGGGTTTTCAGAGCCCTCCTCCGGACAAGGGTCCCAAAAGCTCGCCCAGGTTGAGCTAAGAGAGGTTTCATCTACCATACTATTCTCCCTTGTGTCTACTCCCACCTCCTACTGGCCTGGGCAGACGATGAGGCACTTCAACTCTCCCACCAAACAGATCAGAAAACAAGTACGTTCCCCCATCTCCCCACTGCTGTTGGACAGAGTTCCGCAGTATCTTTAGAGGGGATCCTCCCTCAGAAATCTTCTTGCCACTAGAGCCTTAGGGTGAGAGATCATGGAGTCCAAGCTCCTCGCAGGGACATGCAGCAAAGGCCAGACCCCCAGGCTCCTGTGGGAGGAGGGAAGAGCAGTCACCCCTAAAGCCCCACCTTCTCTTTATTTTATTCTCCCTCCTCCACATCAGGAAAACCATAAGAAGACTGGTTAGGACCTCCTCATACCTGAACTTTTGCCTCCATGACCTCCTTGTAAACCCCTGGTGTGGGGCAGGATAGGGGAGTAGGTGTCAGGTAAGAGACTGCCGTTTGAGACAGATACATAGCAACACTGGGGTCCAGGTCAGTTAAGTAACTTGTACAAGGACGCACAGGGAAACGGAAGCGATTCCAAGACCAGGCCCCGGAATCCCGTCTCCAACAGCTCAGGTTCGGGCCCCGTTGTGCCTAATCCTCCTACCACGATGCCCACTCCGACACATGAAAAGGGCACCGGATTAGTCCAAATCCACAGCCTCTCTCCCAGGTCAGACTCCTGACTACAGGGCAGAGGTGAACTCAAAAGCGACTCCAGCTCCGCCAGTGGGCTCATCATTTCTACGGCAGCTGTGCTCCAAGGGTCTTGTCAGCGGCATCCGTTCTTCCACACGGGCCAAGGGGAGGGGCTTCTACATATTCCTCCCCTGCATCGACCCCACGGACCCTCCTTATCCTCACTGGCTGCACGTCCAGCACAGCAGCACGCAGGGCCAAGGTCTCTGTGGCCAGCTCACCACCTAGCAAGGAAATCGACAACGGCCTGAGGAACTGCTGAAGAAAGCGCGCGACCAACAGGCTGACGGTCTCGCTGACTGACCTGCTGCCTGGCTGTCAGGATGACACACGATGGGCTGGGGGACGGCTAACCTCTCGGCCTTCCTCCCCGCCCGCGGCTCAGGCCGCACCC